TATAAATAGATTATTAGTTGCTATTCCAGGAGAATTAAAATTCATCCATTTTATTTCATGCTAATGAATGATATAATTTTATTTTCCTTTTTGCATTATTTTCTTTTAAATATTAATTAAATTAGGTAACCCCGAGAAATGAATCTTGAAACTCCCACTTTGGTTAGTACCTGGCAGCAACAAAACCTCAAGGTAGCCATTAGGTATTTGCAAAAAGAACCACAAGTCTCATTTACTGGACTAGTCCCTTCCCCAATACTAATAATACCATTAGTCTATTTCATTATTATAGTATAAAGTTCTTTATAATTTCAATAATATTTATAGTATAGGAGTTGAGAGGACTTGTGTTTAAAAAATAGGGTATCACGGTTTCTCTTCTGATTCAAGTTTGGGTGGTCTTAGAGGGCAAGAAAATGCATGGTACCACAGTTCCTTTATAAGGTGTTTTATTCAGATTGAATCCCCAAGCAATTTACTACTAACTTTATATTTAAGAAAAATAATTGACTGCAAAGTTTTATTCTGTTACTATAATTATTCTATTTTCTATTAGATTTACCTAAAAGTTATCTATGATAAAATTTTTGAGAAATCCAATAGGTACAATCGATATGCAATAAAAATTTAACTTTAAAGTAGTCATTAAGTTATGTATTAAAAAATTAACATTGATTTACACATGTGACAGAGATTGATGAAGCTGTTTGAAATAAATCCTGAAATATAATATATAATCATTATATTTAATCTATATATGATTATTTATTTATGAAAAACCTTTTTAATCTCAGTCTTTTTTTTTACATTCAAAACATTTTTACAAACATTTAAAAATTATTTTTTAACGTTTCGGCTCCAAGAGCCATTTTCAAGTTTTGTTTTTTCTTTTTTAACAAGCTAAACATTAGCCCTATAGAAACACTATTTCCATTTTTTTTAAAATATATATGTATATAAAATACTACTCAATGGTAGTAATTGTTTATTAAATATAAAATGTTTTGGTTTATTTTTATTTTTCTTTCAAAATTCCACAAAAATTCTTTTCTATTCCTCCTTTTATCAAAAAATTCCTCCTGTAATTTAACAAAACATTTATAATGTACTAATTTAAAACAAACTTTTAGAAATCCAAAACATTATTTAATTTTATGATTATTATTATTATTATTATTATTATTATTTTGGATATAAACAAACAAATAAAATAGGACCCTTATTAGATAATATGAAAGATAAAATTGAATTAAATTAAATAAATAGATAAAATTAATTCTAAAACCTGATAAACAAAATAAATTGAAATTAAAAACAATAGAGGGCGCCTTAGTATTGTTAGTGAGTCAGTCTAAACTGTAGTTCAGTAAAGATAAAATGAAGGTGATCAAAAACCTACTTATTTTTTATTAAAAAAAATAATAATAAATTTATTAATAATATATGGATAGTTGTAAAACTTTTCTTCTTATTGTTAATACTTTTCTTAAATAGCAATACTTTTCTTAAATAGCAATACTTTTCTTTCTTTAAAAATATAAATTTTACAAAAAATGATTTGCAATTTAACATTCAATGAAATCGAGTTGAAGATATTTTAAAGCTTCTTCTAAGGCTACTGCACAACTTACAAATTGCTACCGGTAACTTGAGGCTTATTTGACTGTTACTCAGTTTGAGTTGGAAATAATCTAAACTGAAAACTCAATAGAATGATACTATACCCCTTGATTTCATCAGCTCTTTTGTGTAATGGAAGCTTAATTATTTTTTAGAACATGAATGGCCTTGTTTATATTGAAGCTGATTTCTTTAGATTTTCTTTCAGGCTGAAGCTCCCCCCCCCCAAAAATGGTAAAATGTAACTATGTTTTATGGTAAAAAATATTAAAAAATTATGTCTTAAAGTATTATTGCTCATTTAATTACATATAATAGGACTTCAAGAATCACTTAAACACCATATCATATTGATAGCTAGTATTTTTCTGTTTTTCGCAAGTAATTATCGTTATATATATATATGAAAAAAAAAATTTCCAGGCTGAAGCCCCCCAAAAAAAATTAAATCTTGGATCCGCTAGTGATGTAGTGTAAAAAGGAATGAATTTTTTTTCCATAAGGATAATAATGTTCGTTATTTTGGGATAGACTCCATTTGTATAGAGTTCTTTCCTTAAAACAAATAAAGATTAATTAATTAATTAATTAATCAAGCAAGAAAATTTCTACTTAAAAAAATAGAACAAATAGAAGGAAAGTTTTTATATTGAAAATATTTTAATATGTAAAAAGGAACCATAAGCCATACATAATGCAGACTAAAAACTTAATAGTGGGTTGGTGGTTGCTGTTCCAAGAAATTGCTGGAATAGAGTGATTCCAGCAATCTCTTGGAACAGCCCTCATGAAGGCCTGAACTTCAGGTCAAAACGTCGGCAAATATTAAAATAAATATTATTATTTATTTTTGACTTTTTATTTCTGACTGATCACCCCAACCATCCTTCTCTTGTTTAAAAACTTAATAAATAACAAATTAATCTTAACTTAATATAAGATATTGTACCTCAATAGGTTTCATTCTTTTTAGTATGTTTTTTAATTTCAATATATTTACCATTTTACACACATTTTATTGAATTATTCCAGTTGATTATTCATTTAATTAGAGTAAAAAATAAAAAAGGAAGGAGATGGTACGTCCAGTCATAAATAGGCTAAATATTGTCAAAACTATTTTATTAAAAGCCAACGTTTCGACCCGACTTTGCAGGTCTTCTTCAGGGAGCTGTGTTCAGCTAGGAGTTTCACTTAGAACTCTCAGTTTATAATGCAACGGTCAACTATTAAATATTCAATAAAAATTATAAATTACAGATAAAATGATTCTTAAACATTGTCTCGTTTAAGTAGTATTCACTTTCCAAATAATAAGTTTTAAATTTGTAAATAAAAACTATTTTATTAAGCTTTCTGGACAGTAGTTGTTATTAATATAGAAGTTTATATGCCTTTGATAAAATTTCAATATAGACTGTATTAAAACATTTTTAAAAATTAACCACTGGTTTCGAACATCATCTATCTCAATACATGTGATAATAGTATGAACAATTGCATATATTAATGATTTAAAAAAAAAGTTTACTTAAATATTTCAATATATACATATATAGCATTTCCAAGTCAATTTCAACCTTTTCCAAGTCAAATTCAATCTTTTCCATTTCATATTAAACCTTTTCCATTTCAAGTTCAACCTTTTTTTATTTATTTTTATTTTTTCGATGTATAGGTCAGTTATCGTATGTGTAGTTTTTGAAAATAATCTCCATTTTAAGATTATGCAACTGTGTTTCGATTTATTTAAGATTTTCGAATTTATTCGATATAAGGGTCTATTTCTATGTTTCCGGGGTCAAATTCAATCTTTTCCATTTCAAATTCAATTTTCGAATTTTTGTAAATTTTCTAAATAAAGGCCATTGCTATATTATAGAATTGCTTAGAGCACTACAGCATGGGTTTGATTCCCGTATGGGGACAGTAACGTTCCCGGTCTGAGATTTACAGGAAGGTGAGAGTTATCCCTGTGTCTAATAACATAGCTCCTTTAATCCTCCAGATTTTGTGGGTTGGACAAAGGGCTAATAACTCTATCCCATAAAATACAACAGGATAGAAACGTATGCAAAAAGTTGCCAACCATCCTGATGAAGAGGGAGTGGACTACGTAAACTTGGAAAAATATTTGACTTGGAAAAGGTTGAGTTTGATTTATAAAAGGTTAAAATGAACTTGGAAATGCTATATACATGTTTGTATGTGTGCGTGCATAAACGGTTTTATGATGATAACTGATATTTAAACAGTTTTATTGTTATTTATTTATAATACCAAATTTCACTCTAGCTCAAAATGTACACCAGGAAGACGGGCCAAAACTGCAATCAGCTATGCAGAGTAATAATTATAGAAGTAACAACAATTTTAATGTGATGAATCAAAACACCATTAAATCAACAACCTCATACAATCAAATAGGTATTTTTTTGCCTATTATTGCATGTACTAATGCACTAATATAATCATGATAGATTGAATATATTTTTATTTGTAAGTATGGAATATGTGTGTTATTTGTAATGGTGGATTGAAGAATTAATACTCCATCTTTACAATGAAATAAGTATAACTAAAAATATATTTTTTTAGTTTTATCTAAATAGTATTCTGAAATATTAAAAGGTAATAACATTAAATTTGTTATTAAAATAGATTTTAAATACAATACAGTAAATGTGTTCTGCAATTGTTTAAAATATTTTCTAATAACAGTTACAGCTCTAAATATTCAAATAAAAGAAAATTCAAACTCAGTCCAATATAAGTAACATAAGACTATGAGAAGATCTAAAGCTAAGACAAATTTAGGATCTTTTGATCATAAATTTGTCCTATATAATTTCAGATTGAAAAATAAGTTGGTACTATGGATTCACATTTGTAATTCTTGTAAAGATGTCGTTACTTTTATTTAATATGTCTCATTTTGTAGCAAAAGTTACCTAATTCCCATTGTTAAGTATTTCTGATGTCCTGGTGAGCAAGAATTGTGTGAAGGTGTTCAGTGATTTCAGGGATTCACATTTACAAGAATAATTGCGCTTCTCCTCTTCCAAGAAAATTTATTGGTTTTTTCTTCTTTAAAAGCAGTGCAAATTAAAGTAAAATTATAAAAATTATAGTTTAGTATTTTCTCTTGCTCTTTGGTTTGAAAATTCTCCTCAGTTAAAACCCTACAATAATATGATCTCCAAAAATTCATAACCCCGTACACATATACCCCCTCCCAAAATTCTTAACCTCAAATATTTGGATGGCACGACATGTGCCAGTCTACCTCCATCTGGGCATTCATTACTCATCTTATCATTTTTCCATTACTATAAAGGCTACACATCAAGTCTTTTGATACTCCTTTATGGTGTAGATGTTTATGGTAGTATAACTGACCAGTAAGTAAAGGGAACCATACAACTTGACTGAGCCCTGGTTAAATTCTGACGAATGCAGCCATTCTCACTTTGCTTTTGAAATTTAACATTTTCTTTTCTTTGCAGGCAACGAATCTGAAAAAGTAAATGGAAACTCTTTATCCAGCCAAAGCTGTTTTACAAACATGTCTATGAGGTTTGAATAAGATATATTTTGACTTAAGTAATTAAAATTTATTTTTATTTTCCTTTCTTTTTTTGTGCTTTGTATTTGCAGACAGAATCAGTACAGCAATGAAGGCAAAATTGGATCTATTGTTGGAGAAAACAGGCTTCAATCAGTATGTTTGAATGTTATTTAGAAATTTATAATGTCAAACATGAATTAGCCGTTTACAAGAATTGAAATATTTTTTCAGTTTTTAGATAAACATTCTGAAAGAAATATGCAAGGCCAACTAGGATCTAATAAATCTGAGATTGTTGACAAACAAGTTGAAAACAGTCCATCACAAATTCATGCTGAACAAAACAAACCTCAAATAAGCCATACTGGACATCAGTCTCAGATCAATAGCCAAATTCATCAGTCCAACCAACAAGTAAACCAATTACAACAGAATCAAAGTATGAGCCCAGTAGCACAGCAACAGCATATTGCTCAACATTTATCTCAAATGCAGCAACAGAATCAAATAGAAAAAAATCAACAGTTACATATGGCACAAAATGTTCAACAGCAAATGCAGATTCAGCAACAGCAAACTCAGCAGATGCCAATCCAGCAACAGCAACAGCAAACTCAGCAGATACAAATCCAGCAACATCAAAATCAGCAGATGCAGATCCAGCAACAGCAACAACTACATAGACAACAAGAAATACAATATATGCAAATGAAAAAGTTTCAGCACTTACAAAGACAACAAATTCATTCTAGACCGAATTCTAGAAGCCCTTTATTACAACAAAATAAACAGAATATTGAAAATGCTTTCCAAATGAAATCTGAGGCTGGATTTTACCAACATGAAGATTCATGGAGAAATTATGATGAATATCCTGATGAAATGAATGCGCAATTTTATGGCAAAGATTATGCTTTTGAACAGCAAGTAATGAATCAGCAGAAATGTAGAGATCATGCTTTTGGAGTTCAGGTAATTTTTAAAATCAACATAACTTATGTATTAATATGCTTGTCCAGGAGTCCCCAACCCTATACCCGCAAACATCATGGTGTCCAACTGACATAATTCACACTATTGATACACGAAAACCAGAATCTGCTTTATGTGGCATGCTGCTGTTTAAAGAGTTTCTACTAAAACATTATTTACATATTTTTAATATCTAACAATTAATTAATATACTTATTTAATATTGTAATTATAAGTACATTAATATTTTTTTGAAAATTATAATTTATTGATATCATAGAATTTTTAAAGTATTTTTTTCAATTTTAATCTTAAAATGTATGAATCAAGTATAATATGACCATGTAATATTATATTCTTCAAACTATAAACTATATAGCAATGGCAAATGAAATTCAGTGAAAAGATTACAGTGACAGTAGTATTTATATTTCTTGTAAATAAATATAACGTCCTTCAAAAAATTTTAATTTATTCCTAAATAGTTTTATATAAGAGTACAATTTTTTTTTTCACTAAAATAAATATTATTTTTATAATTATTACTAAAAAGATCAAACTACATAAAAATCAAGAAAAAAATGTATACCCACCGCTTGACAGAAAATCTCTAAATGTGCCTGCAGGTAGAAGAAGGTTGGGGACTTCTGGCCTTGAACATGATATAAATATCACAGATAGTTGATTATAGTATTACTTAGTTGGCTAGTAAAATTTTTATAATTGCCTGATTTTGTTTATCACTATGTTATGTAGTTTGTAATAATGGGTGCCCAAGTGAATTTTATCATTGACCCCATGTGTTATAGGGAGACAACTTTTAATATGTTATTTAAGAACTTTGATATGAGGTATATTTTATTTTATTTCAATTAAAATTGAAAAAATTCAATAGTTTAAATTATTGTCCATAATGGATGACAAAGTTAAATTCATATCATTTTTTTTATTATAAATTATTTTTCTTCTCTAAAGAATTGATAAAGCTTACTAAAAACTTTTTTTTTTTAAATTAATACATTCTGCCGCAGTGGAGGGCATTAATATTAGGGCTAAATTAAACATTCACACAATATATACATACAAATGATAACTAAAATAGAGATAAAAGAAAAAGAGGACTACTAATAACTAAAATGTATCATCACATTAAGTTTTTATTTATTAATAGTTCAATATTTTTTAAATTTTTTTTCAGGAGTCATAATTTTTTCTCTCATGAAGTCACAAATCTTTGACTTCTTTATATTTTTGAAATTAAATACAGTTTTCTGTCAGTTTAAAATTTTTATTTAACATAATCAGTTGTTATTCTATCAAAAGTATTAATTTATGTTTATATTACCTATCCTAAAAATAACATCACTTCACCAATTATGTATTGCATTGCATTCAAACATTGTATGAATACTTAATCTTTCTTAAATTAAATTCTATACTTAAAATTTTAAAAAATGATCTACAAAAGTAAAAAGATGCATATTAAAACACACTAAAAAAAAGGTATAAATAATAGTTATTTTGTTATTTATTTTATATCTTACAGAATGACTTGGAATCAGAGAACCTGAATGCTCCAAAAGCTCCTTCTCAACAAAATAATACTCCTGGAAAAACTTCAGCAGGAACCATTAGTGGAATGTTAGCAGATTTCAGCAGAGCATTAGGTGAAATTTCATAGCACTTTCAATAAAATATTTATACAGCTCCATAATTATCTGTGTATAAATACTTGATAATCCTTGGAGGCAATCTTATAGGCAATTCAAAGAAATGAAAAGGTAGTAAATAGTGTTGTTCTATGATCCCTAAATTGTTCTGATCAATTAGCAAAACGAAAATCTGACATGTGCTGTTTAAAATACTTTTTCACATTTGTCTATAATCTTTCATGTTTTATTAATTTAAATTGCTAATAATTTCTTTTTATTAATATCAAATGCCAAATAGCTTGAAAAAAGATATAAAGTAATTAGGATATGATTGGGAAATTCTAAACTATTAAGCATAGGGTCTCCAGCATATAAGTTAACAGTAAATGTTGGAGACTCATGGCTTTATCGTTAGGAAAATCCCATTTATTCTGTCTTTTTTTTTTTGGTCTGTTTATTTTTTTATATTAATATTACTGGTGGAGTAATCGTGTATCCTTTAGGTTTTGTTTGATATTGTTGTTACATATATATTAGGAGACTGTTTTTTATTTATTTATTTTTGGCATTTAATTAATTTAACACATAGTTACATAATTATATTTTTGATTTTTTTTTTGGTATGCATACTTTAATTTCGCTCTTTTCTTTGAGTCAGCTGTTTGAATATAACCTTCCCCTCCTGTGTTTATGCAACCTTCCATTTCCTTCAATGTGTGTTTGTATGGCTTGTTGTGATGAATTGTCTGTTATAGTAAATGTATTTCCTCCCCTTCTTTCATTTTGTTCTCTGTATATATGATCTTGTTTTTTCTGTCCTGATGACACCTTAATTGGTGATACATTGACGGGTTGATTGTTCACCTGTATGTTGGAGATCCAAGGCTTTGTGGTTTGGAATTTTCCATTCATATTATAAAGTTTTTTATTCTTATTCATATTTCAGAACATAATAACTTATTTTCAATATCAACAATGATATGTTATGAACTTCTAAATTTTTATTTATTTAGCGTTAATAAAAATTAATGCTTTCCCAGAACTGCCAGTAATGGGCAGTCATCTTCTAAATGTTATTACATACTTATGTTTACTGCCTTTTCATTATAGTGGCTTAAGTTTGGTATTTTGTTTGGATAGGCTGCAAGATAAAAATGTAATAATAAAAAAAAATTAATGATAATATTCGGTTATATAAAAAAATTTGAGGAGTCAATAGAAAGAGCCAGTCTATTAGATGGTGTATTGTCCCATTAGTTCTTTATTTGTTGTTTAAGGTTGATTTACTGTGTTATGTATGAACTTCTTTCATCTCTCAGGAAGCCTGTTATATCCTTTTTCCAAAATTGGTATGAGAGGCTTACAGAGAGATGGAAGAAGGTAATGGAGCACAATAGTTCATATATAATACAGCAAAACATTTCTTTTCCTTCACTCATAATTCTTCTTCTACTTCCAATATTAAAGATCACAATTTCAATCCTGAAGACTTTTTTTTTTCTCCCATGTGTCCTGCAATAAACTACTTTCCACTATTCTAGTGGAATATACTAATGATTATGGTCTTGACAATATTCCAGTAAAACTAATAAAATCCAGCCTTCCTGTCCTTATTCCCGCACTCTACCATATCTAAAACTTTTCATTGCAAAACTCCATATTCCCATCTGGAATATGGGAAAAACTGCCCTTGTCTGACCTTTGAATAAGATTTCCAACCCTACCTCACTGCATGACTTCCATTCTATTTCTCTTCTAGCCAGCCTTTCAGAACTGTTGGAATGCCTTGTCCAAAATCAACTCTAATATTCCAACCCTGTTCCTACATGATAACCCCATCAAATTTTATCCCACCATCAAAAACCTTGGAATGACCTTTGATCAAACACTTTCCTGGAAAAAACATGTATTTAATATCTCCCGCCGTACCTTTTCCACCTTGAAATGTCTAAATTACCTCTGTCACCTATTTCCATTTGAAACCTGAAGGGTCCTAATCACTTCCTTAATATTTCCCCACTTTGACTATTTTTACGGTATATGGGGGCATCTCTGGGGATCTCAAGGCGAATATAAAACGTTTGATATTATATTACAATCCATCTTCGAGATCCTAAGGGGCACTTCTGTTTCCCATTTTTATGAAGAGTTGAAGTGGCTTTATCCTTCTTACCAATGTAAGTATTTCCTGGCATCCTTCCTCTTCCAGGTCATCCAATACAGCCTTCCTTCATACATCTCTAAGCTCCTTCAATTCTTCCTAATCCTCTGTTTGTTCCCGCAATAACCATTCCTGGTCTTCAGATTTTTACAAATGAGCCCACCGAATTAGTGCTTTTGACAGATTGTTCATTATCCAATCCTCATCCCCATGGGACTCCATCCCCTCCTACATCCATCACTCCAATATCCTCCCTACCTTTAAATACCATCTGTTCAATCATTTCTTATCTATACATACAGTCCCCATAAAATTGTAAATAGATATTACTGTAAATATGTATATAAATTATTAGATCATTTTTAATTATTTTACTTAATGTTTTTTCAATTTTTTTTATTAATAACTGATTAAAGTTAGAAAGTAACTTATAATTTTTTTATTATAACTATTTATGTACTTTGTGATTATGTTTTATGTATCTCTGAGGCTCCAAAGCCCACATTTCTGTCTTTCTGTATTATTCTAAAGGGACTTATCCCAAAATAAATAAAGTATTATTATTATTAAATCAACCGTAAATAACAAACAAAGAAAAAAGAAAGAAGTTATGGGACAACTTATTATTTACTCACATATTATATATTCTTCTTTATATGTTCGGGTCTCTTCTATATAATATTGTTTGTATTTTCAGGTTTAAGTAATGTTTCAGATGAGAAAAGTCAAGAAGATTCTAATTCACTAAATATTGAAAACAAAGATTTATCACAAAACCAGGCTTCTAAACCCATGAATCAACAGCAAATTCATGCTCAGATTAGATCGAATGAACAATTTATCCATGGTAATCAGAATCAAAATACACTGGACTTCCAAGGACAACAGCATGCGCAAATATCAATGGAAAGCAAACATATTATGAGAAATGATGATGCAAAAATGCAAACTTCTAGACCAAATCCATTTCAAAATACACAGCAATATCAATTACAGCAACAACAGTTGCAATTGGATTACAGCCAACTTCAACATCCTTCCCAACAAGTACAAGTTTTTGCACAACCAAATTTAATGCAACAGAAGCATGGCTTAGTAAAAGATGAGTTTTTGAACTCCATTGATAGGGATCAAAAAGCAGTATATCTGCAACAACAGATTTTTCAGAAATTGCCTGAACAGCAACCAATGTTTGCCCAAAACCTTACACCTCAACAACAGCAAATGTATCAGCAACATATGCAACTTCAGCATCATGCACAGCACTTAAAGAAAATTAAGCGTTCATTGCCTCATTCCTCTAATGAACAACAAAGACAGCAGGTGAATATCATAATAATTTGCAATACATAATATTTTTTAAAGTTTAAATATCTGAACCTGTTTTGTTTAATGAACCTTTCTTAATTCTAACTACATCATTTACTTATGAATAAGTAGTTAAATTAATCTTGTTACAGCCAATGAAGGTTCTTGGAAGCAGGTGCTAAAAATGTTCGAACTATCGAAAGAAGTCTCTATCATAGTTTCTCGTGAATTGTGTATTTCTTCAATTATTTGGTGGTTTTTCCATTGTTGGTGTTCTTCCTTTACAATATCCTTGTTTTCCTCCTCAGAAACAAAATTTTAATGGCAATGGGCTGGTTTTAGAGCCTCTAAGCATTTTGATATATGATTTGATTTTCAGCTCTATCTGTTTATATACTTATTCCATCTGTTTATTCTTTTCCTTTATCAATTCTTCTTTTTATGCTATAGTCACAGCACCTTCAATTTTATTTGTATAATTCATCAGTTTTCTCTCTTACATAGTTTTTATATGTTGACTTCCTCTCATATAATCTTACTTATTATTGTTTATATTTATAAATTGTGTTGTTACTTATATTATTTAAAAATTTCCTTGTTTTTATCTTTGTTTTCCTTTGTTACTTTTTCTTTTTTTTTTGTTTATATTGATATATATAATCTTGTATATCTAATCTATTTTTAGCTTTAATAACAGCCTACATGTTTAGGCTGAAATATATAAAATTAAGGTTTTTTTTTTCTCATTAAATGATTCTATGATTGTCTTATCCATGATATATCTAATACTGTAAATTATCTATCATCTCTCACTACTTCTGTATGATGTTCACATTGTAATAAAATTTACACTAATTTATTTATGCTTATATATATATATATATATATATATATATATATATATATATATATATATATATATTTTTTTTTTTTTTTTTATTACTTCCTACCTCACCAGAGTGTTGAGGTCATAAGTTTAATAAATTTCAACCAGTATCTCTAAACACGAGAATGTTAAAATGGGCAACACTTTAACACACTCGGCCATCATGAAATCTTATGTATTGATATGTTTAACTGTTCGCAAAAACCATAATGAATCCTCAACATTATGGTTCTCTAGCAACAGTTATAGCCACGGTGTGCATTGTCCCAATGTAGAAACTTGATGTTCTATAGACATGGGCTTCTCAAAATGTGCATATGTAGAAGTTCTGCTGTGCAAGCCTCTGTTCGAACAGTTTCCTTCTTTTATAACCATTTTTGAGATTCCAATCCTGGTTAATTGGGATTATTAGTGATAACTAAAATTAGATCACTACTTTTGGACTTCTACTTGCTCAAGAATTAAACAAACTCCCAATGGATTTTTTTCAGTTGAGGTCAGGCTTATCTAATCAGAGCTCTGTAAGTCGAGTTGAATCCTTTTGGATTTTATGATTACTATAGTAATAATAATAAATTAGAGGAAATACAACTTTTTTTAGGATTTATAACATTTTAAAAATATGTTGTGGTTATAAATCAGTGAAATATTATGAAAGATAAATTCAAATAATATAGGTAATTGGTATTACCTACTAAAAATAAAATTATGAAACCTCATAATAATAAAATTATTGTTAATGGAGAAAATAAGATAAATTATTGGATCCAAACCTTCATTCCCAATGAAAGCCTAGTTCTTAAAACCACTGCCTCAAACTGCTCAACTTCTTGATAATTATACAAATTGAAACTGATCATATAGTGGTTAACATTAGAATGATTATAGGTCATTACAAATACTGAAGGGACAGTAAAAAAAGATATTCTGGGCACGTACAGTTTGATGAGTTTATGATTACAGAATGTCTAATTAATCTACACAGACGTGATTGCGGAGCTTGTTTGAATCTTTGTATTCATGTTTTATGCTTTTGAGAAGTTATTGTGACACTAGATAAGCCTTAAATTACTAAATACAGATGAGTCTCTATAATCTAGCACACATATGACTAGAGTTTGTCAGAGATGGACATATTAGATATGGCTTTAGCATAGCATTGTACAATTTTAATTTGAGATTTCTTGGGATTTCATACATTTAAAAGAGATTCAAGATTATTCTCAATTTCATTTCAAGATTATATGATTTTTTCTATTCTTGGGAATCCTTCTACGTAGATCCTGTTATTGGGGTGGAATTTTCATCTTATTATTATATATTTCGTTCATATTTAAAGATAACAGATATTTTACATGTTAATAAGTATGTAACAAAGAAAACATAAATCACCCAATTAACTAAGGCCAACTTACTTAGTTAATTTATAGTGAAACCTCCAACCCACTAAAACAGCCAAATACTATATGTTGCCCTTATTCAGCTTCTTAATAATTTTTCCTATTTTGCAGAATTAAGGTTTTCTGGGTTTTTTTTCCCCCTCTTCCACAAGGTTCAGACACATTCACACTGGTTAATAATATTTTTGTACCTACCAGCAATGTTGCACTAGTGGGAATGCCTGACAAGCTAGTATTGAACTTTAGAAACTCAACTGTCTAAAGTCCCAAAGGACTATTGATTTAATAGTTATATAATAATGATTTTTTTTTAATTTATACATTTTAAATTTATTCAATCCTTAGCAATGTTTCTAGACAGGCACAAAATGAATAATTTTATAACAAAGTAGTATGAAGTTTTTCCCAATATCAGCCATATTTTTAGTTCCTCTTGAATTTTATTTCATTTGAATATTGTAGACTACATGTCTTTTAATCTCTATATTAAAACTGTTTTCTCTTATATTATCAATGTTTCTGCTGGTTCCACTACAACCATCCACATATTGTGTTTTATTCATATTTATTTCCAGATACTTTTTATTAACAGCATCCATTTATGTTGCTGTTTTTAAATTACAAACTTCTGGATTTGTACTTACAATACCAACCATTGGCGTAACCAATCATACGTTTTTTTATAGCCCAGAGTTAAACATTTTCTGTTGCAAATTACCTTTCTATTGATGCTTATTAATAAAGGAAGAATCTTCATCATTTGTAATAATGACCTGGTTTTCTGCAAATTATACCGGCATTTATCATTTAAGATTATCATCCCTATACCATTACACTCTCTTTTCTATAGCCTAAGGATACTTTACTCATAAAATTTAAATAGTTGAAGGGAAGAGAGCGAGTCGCCTTCCTTGAGCTCTTGGTGATTGGAAATTCTTTTGTTATACCATATTTGAGCTTGAACCATGCTGTCGCTTGTGAATATAGTCCCTTTATAGCTAGGATCATGTACTGGCTTACCCCTGTGTTTTCTGGGGTACTCCATAGTTTACTAAGAGCCACTGTATCATGTACTTTTTGTAGATCCACAAATATTAAATTTATCTCTTTATTATGAACTTTAAATTTTTCTATAAGTTGTGTGGGAGTTAGTATATGATCTAACACTTCTAAACCTGACCTGTTCCTCAGGTATCACAATTTTACACTCTTCCATTAACCATTTATTCATAATTATTCCATATAATATATTCAAGGTACTAGTTACTATGTTCCCTCTGTAATTTGAACACAGTATTTTTACTCCTTTTTTTGTGAATAGGATTGATATAACCCTCCATCCATTCACTCAGAAATGTTCCTTGTTTTATGGAATATGACATGAGCTTGGCCAGTTTCTTTTTACATTCAACAGGTCATTATTTGATTAACTCTATTTATATTTTTCCTGGTCCCAGTGATTTTTCCATTTTTCATATTCCTTAATGCAAAATCTGCTTCACCTACTGAGACTTCTACTAAGAACATGGCAGCCTCTTCTGAATTCCTTTTGATCATCTATATATAACTTAGAAAAATACTCTACTCATTGTTTTTCTTGTATGAGATTAATTTAAATATTTTCTTGCTTTTCTATGATAATATATAAATTAAGAAAGAATTTGATAATAAACTAAAGGCAAAATAAGAGCTAGAGTGTGGCAAATAACAGACGTTAACACCCAAGTGCACTCAGGCTTGGCTGGTAGGTTAGAATAGTTACTAAACATTTTCCCAACTGTTCACCTGTTGGAACAGTTCCTTATTTAGTTTCACTAGGATTGGTGCATCCCTAGCCTTAGACACATACATAATATGCTATATCATAAATGAGGAACATTGAGGCTCTTATAATACTATATACATGAACATGTGCAATTTTTATAAATGGTATTAATTAATAGTTAATTATGTAGATTACGGCAATATGAAAATTAAAATTTGTGTATGTACCTATACTTAAACAATTAAAAGTACCAACGATTAAATATAATTAAATTTAGCAGCCTAATTTATCATTGGCCCTCTTATCCGACTAAAAAAATTTTTGGCATTCTTATAAATAAATAAATAATTAAAATATAAGTAATCATACAAGAAAATTTACTGTGATGAAAAATTAATAAACTTAATAGATTAGACATGTAGGTAATTCTTTATTTTAAGTTAATATATTCCACCATCCATAATTGTTATTTTCACCTATTTATACTAAATAAAGTAGGGTAAGGAGATAAGATAAAATGTAGTTAAAAAGATGCGGCCATTAGTTAAGGGATTACTGAGGAGACCCATGATATTTTATGAATGATCTTCAACAGATTTTCTCTAGAGTGCATTCCAGAGCTGCATATTAAATCTTAATACTAAATACTACCATAAAGATTATTAATAGGTTTTAAGTTCGAGACGGTGAAATGTTGGTACTATTAAGCTTAATAAAATAAAAAAAAATCAGTATTTTATGTAATTGGTAGTCACAGTTATGATCGATGATAATTTATTTTTATTTTATTTCTTTAGCCTCAGAAAAAAGATGGTAGTGTCAATATGATTGGGCAAAATCAAAACATTGGTACAGGAGTCACAATACAGCAAATGATTGCAGCTCAATTTCTCAGCCAGCAATCTTCTTTACCAATTCAAATTATGAACAGTCAACTTGTGGGGTCAGACATGAAGTTGCCCACACAAAACAGAATGGTTGCTGCTAATAGTCCTGTTTTGGTTGCTTCTGGTTTAACAAATCAACAACTCAATAGTGGTAAATGTTAATTTTGCATTTTTGATATTATACTTTTTCTAAGATAATTTTAGTAAGACAAACATTCAAATAAGAGTGAATCGACAATAAACTAGAATTCATCTTTCTAGTTTGTTTTTTTTTGTAACAACATACAAATTTATATATTTTGTTGTTAATATCTCCTTTGGAAACTCATTTTTCCAATAAACTCATTTTGTTTTTTTAATGATAAGGCAATAAAAAAATTATCGGGTAGTATTCTAACATTATTATATTGATCTCAAAATGCATCTTTTGCTCAAGGTTACCTCCTCTTGTAGTAATTTTGTACTGATGATTCTTGAGTGAATATTCCTCATTGTAAGTACTTTAAAATATTTTTTATTTATTATGTTTTTGGAGCAATAAAAACAAAACAATGCAAGTCATTAAATGGTTAAATTTATCAGATGATCTATTCAAAACAAAATTATCACATAAACTTTATTTTGCCTTACACACACACACACACACACACACACACGCATATACATAGGTACAACTACATATGTAAAATCATGTAAAGGCCATAAAGTGTTTGTTAAAGATAATATAAAAACTAAATTAATCTCATTAAAGCACATAAAACATAATATATTGTATAAGCAAGAGAAAACTATATATATCTTACAATTATAATTTACTAATACTATTAGTGTTAAAGAGTTTGTTGCTGCTTATTTGTCTATAGTTATAAATCCATTAAATTGTCATAAATTATGTAGAATTCGAATTAGTTCAGAATTTTAGTTCATTTGTTTGTGTACCGTTTCAGTGATTTCTTGCCATAGTTTTTTATTGTTTGGATTATAGGGTTTTCAGACACCAGTGTTAGCTAAAAATCTTTGTATTTTAACAAAAATTTACTGTTTTATAGTTGGCAACTACAATTCTGATAACATGGTGGATATTTTAGTGTTTTGTAGGTAATTGTTTATGATTCTTATGCATATGTTTTGAATCATTTCAAGTTTTCTGTAGTTGGACTCACAAATATAACTCCATACTGGGGCAGAGTATGTGATTATAGGATGAATAACTGCTTTATATCAAATCAGTTTATTTTTTAATGCGAATTGGGTGTATCTATTGAAATATGAGGACATTTTGCTTATCATGTTTTTTGCTAAAGTGCTATAAATAGCACTTGTTATTAACATTTTGAATTTGTGAAATTTCAAAAAGTTTTGATATTATATTAAGAAGATATTGAATATTTAATAGTTGACATTTGTATTATAAAGGAAGGAGATGGTCTGGGGTGGCGGTAATAAATAGGGTAAATAGTGGTAAAACTATTTTATTGAAAGCCGACGTTTCGTCGTTATTGTCGTGTCGTAATTTAGCCTATTTATGACCGCCACCCCGGACCATCTCCTTCCTTTATATTAAGAAGACTTAGAAGATGGGTCTATAGCTTTGAACATCTGCTGGGTCTTTGGTTTCAGGACGGTTATAATTTTTGCTGCTTTCCATGTTGAAAAATATCTGAAGCAGAAGATACAGTTATAAGTCTTTTTTAAATATAAACTAGATTTTTTTCTCAATTTTTTAATTACAATTGGGGGTATGGAGTTTGGATCGGGTGATTTTATAGTTTTTAACCATTTTATTATCTGATTCACCTCTCTGATTTTTTGATTGTTGGTATCTAAATGTGCCAGCTATAGCTTCTGTAGGTATAGTAGTAATTATTTATAGTAATAATTAGTTTTAGTTAGTTACAGTATAAGTTAGTTATAGTAATAATTAGCTACCTTCTCTATATCAGAATAGGTGAAGCTGTTTGCAAGTTTGATTGGTAGGATATGGTGGGGTCGATTTGTAAGAATTTTATGTTTCTTTCAGAAATTTTTACTATCAGGGGACAGCTCACTAAGAATTTCCTGGTATCTCAGAGTCCTCCATCTGTTCACATAGGTATTCATTATTATTATTTGCTAAAGATATATTTATACTTTATGTTCCTGGTCAGGTGGTAATTTTTCTCCTCTTCCTATCCTCATTATTTTTGTTTTGTTGCTGTTTATCTCCATTTTTAACAGTTCCAATTCTTCCTGCAGGATTCAGAGGTTGTATTAGAGGTTTCCTCTGTTGTTCCTGAATACCACAATATCGTCAGCATATGCCAGAAGGGTGAGATGAACTGGTCATAGCTCTCTGTGACCCAGCCTAAAAGGTCTCATTCTTTCCTTAGCTCTCTTCAGTACCATGTTGAGCACTATTATAAACAATGAAAGGCTTAGACTACAGCTTATTTTTTTTTATATAGGCTAAGAATGGCCCTTGCTAGGCCTGGATTGACTTCATGCTCATTCAATGCTCTGTTTATGTCCGTTTTTCTGATCTTATCGAATGCTTGGGTTAGATCCACAAAGCAGGTATATACTTCTTTATTATTTTCCACAAGCTTTTCTGAGAGCTTCTTCATTACGAATATTAGATCTTTGTGGTCTCAAACCGTATTGTTCTTCTTCTACGGTTCTCTCAATGAATCCTCTTAGTCTATTCTTTAGAATTTTAGAGTATACCTTGCATGGTACACTAAGCGCTGAGATGCCTCTGTGGTTTCAGCATTCCCAGTAGTCTCCTTTTTTATGTAGTGGAATTATGACTGAAATTTCCCAATCCTTGGGTACTTCTTTCTTTTTACATTCCAAATTCAGTAGATGCTAAAATATTTCCTGCCCTTTTGTTCCCATATTCTTCAGCATTTTGGGGGTTATACCATCTATTCCTGGTGCTTTGCCCATTTTCAGGCTGTCAATTGCATCTGCTATTTCCTCCTCTCCTATGAAATCTTCCTCATCCTTTTTCCAAGTAACATCTCTATTGATATTTTGTTCTGGCATTGACAAACTACCCGTATCGTCATTCAGCACCTTCTCAAAGTATTCCTCCCATTTATCCATTATTTTATTAGTATTTGTTAAAATAATACCTTCATCATCTTTTATGTGTTTTATAATGGGCTCCTTTTCCTTCTTCATATTTCTTAGGCATCTGTAGGAGAGCTTCTGATTTCCTTTTGCATCTTTCTCTAACTTATTTCCGAAATCTTTCCAAGCTTTTCTCTTCGACTGTAGAACTTTATCCTTTGCTCTTTTCTGCTGTTCCTTGTATCTTTCTTAGTCTTCCATGTTTTTTGTCAGAAGATACTGTTTCAATAATTCCTTCTGTTGTCTGATTTTGCTTATCACCGTTTTAACTGTTGGCCAACATTAGTTTTTCCACAAACCTCCTCTGCTGCTCCCAGTATTTGTTTGATTGCTTTATAGCTTTCCTCTGTCTCGTCAGCATCCCATAGATATTCGGTGCTAGTTGCTTTTACTTCTGTTGCAGACCTATGTACATGCTTCTGCAATGTTTTGTGCTCTAAGCTTATAATTATTTATTTTTGTGGCTTTGCTAGGACTTTTCTTTCTTTGTGTTGGAGTCCTCTAAAAGCATAACCAATGTTGGCAACATGTGGTCTGTCCCTAACTCGTATCCTCTCTTGACTCTGACGTCTTTTGTTCTCCTTATTTCCTCTTTTGGAACCAAGAAGTAATCAATGATAGATTTTTAGTTTCTGGAGGGTTCTGCTCTTGTGATTTGGTGTATTTCCTTGTGAGAGAAAAAGCTGTTCACCAATGTTAGCCCGTTTGCTAGACAGAGGTTTAAAATTCTTTCTCCATTGTCATTCCTAAAGTTTTATCCATGTCCCCATATCATTCCATGCCATCCATTGGTCTCCTTTCCCACTCTGCCATTAAGGTCTCCCATAATGATGGGGGTTCTCGTACTGTCATCTAATCTCTTCTGTAGAAAAAGAAACTTTCTTTTTCTCGAACACTGGCATTATCATTGGGGCCGTACACAATGAACAGTGTATATTTTTTGTGTTCAAGTCTTAACTGCACAATCATAATTCTTTCACTTACAGCACGCCAGTCTTGTATGTGCATGCATAGATCCCTGTGCATTATGCATCTGCCTTTTGCATGTTCCTGGTGGTTTATTCCTGAAAACAGCAGCACATAGTCTCCAATTTGTTCCTCTCCCTTTCCTTTCTTTTTTGTTTCTGTTAAGCCTGCTATTTTTATTTGGGCCTTCTTTAATTCCTCTATGAGCTCCATCTCCTTTCCTCTTATTCCCTTAATATTACATGTAGCAAGTGTGATATACCTTTTTCCGCACCGAGTCTTGCACCATAATATCCTATCGGCTTTATTTCGTTTAGTACTTTTCATAAATATGTATCTCAGGTTGACAGGGTATGGGCCTGTCGTACCCAAAGCCTGATGAAGGGGCTACCTTCTTAAAGCTTCCAGGCCAGCTCTCTCTGGCTTCATGAGGTAGGTGGAAAACTGCCACTACTGATCTGAGAAGGTGGTTGAATGCACCTACTCAGGCTGCATAGGGATCTGCCTCCTTCTTTCTCAACCCGGCTTGGGACCGGCTATGGCGGAGTTATTTATTCTTCATAAAAATAAAAAATTGTAGTTGAGAAGATATTTCGTTGGTTTTTTATTGATAATAAACCTGTTGTATAGCTTTAATCATGCCAGTTTTGATAGTCATTACAAATTTATCAACTATCAAATCTATATCAGGGTGATTTTTTATAGTAGGGTTGATATCTAAATTTTTCAGAATTTTTTCTAATATTTTTATTTTCAATTCGGAATTTCACCAAGTTATGATCCAACCTGAGACGTGGTAGTGAGATGCGCCTCATCTCACTTCTCTTTCTCGCCTAGAAAGACTAGATATGTTTTTTTGAGGGCCAAGTCGATAATGCTAGTATACTGTATCTTTTTACTTTCACTTACCTATATATGAAATATATAGTAAAGGAAAGTATTGCGATTGTGAGTGTGTGTGTTATAACATTCTAGCTCAAAAACGATAAGTCGTACAAAAATGAAATTGCATATTTAAGGTTTTTATGTGCTAGGAATGTTAAAGCAATTTTTTTGTCAAAATCAGTTAACCGTAAGTGGCACTTTATATAATGGACTAAACACATTTTTACGATTTTCTCAAAAATGGCTCTAACGATTTTGATTAAATTCATCATATCAGTGTAAAATTAAGCAGTTTTAAATAAAATGCAGTTTTTATTCTGATTGATGTTCTCTAACAGGGCTTAAATAGCTAATTTTCAATATTAGCTTCCCTTAAAGTACCTTTTTTATTTTTTTTTTATTTGAAACGATTGACTATTACACATTAATCTCTAATATAAAAGATAGTTAAATATAAAATATGAAAGAATTTGATAATTAACTAAAGGAGAAATAAGAGATTGTAACGGAGAACAGGAGGAACCGAAGGAATATGAGCTCACCTGAAAGATTGGAACACACTTCTATATGTAACATGAGCTTAATATAATACAGAATCCAACAATATTTTATAAATATACATATATGGTTTTCATAAATGCTGTTGTTGGTATTATTTAATGTTTAATTGTATATATTACAGTTATATAAATATTAAAATTTGTATATATAAGGGTACTTATACAAATAAAAATACCCACAACAAAATATAAATAAATATAGCGTCTGTAATTTTTACTTTCATTTCCCCTTTGTCTGAAAATACTTATTTCTGCTAAGAAGAGGGTGGTAACCGAAAGTTGTGTGATGAGTGCACCACACCATATTATTTGAGTTGGAATGTAGGTTGGCTCATTAGGAGCATATAGTTCTATATTTCTTCTTGATATAAAATTTAATAGTTATTTTCTGTTTTTATTAGAGTTATGGCAATCCCATCATGAATTTTTTGGCATTTAAGTAGTCAAAAATTAGTATTAAGTAAAATTAGTTAAGCAATACTTTAAGATCATGTGTATTTCATTTAAGGTTTATTTGTATTAAGTGAGGTTTTTCCTTAGAATTTTTGGAGAATGTTTTTTGGAACCTTTTTGAGTCTGTTTTTGGCAATCAAGGAAAATCGTTTGGTTTCGGCTTGAAAATTTTTTGTCGTGAAGGCTTGACTGTAGCTCGCTGTTTGCTAAGTCTCATTTGTTGATTTCTAATGTAGTATGGGTATTTTTTGTAATTAGAAAAATAGTTTTCTTGGCAAAACTGCATTTTTGACTAAACCTCTCATGTAAGATATTTGGGCAGTCTTTTGATAAATATTGTTCCGAGTATTTCAGGCACTTATAGTTTTTAAAACAGTTGTGAGCAATATGGTTAAGTTCTTGACACAAGTAACATTGTTGTGGCAATATTTTGCAATGTTGTGACAATATTTTATGTGATTTAATTTAGCAAATTGATCTTTATTATTCAAAATAATGAATGTTATTGGAAAACTAGTTTCTTTTCTGTCAGATTTTTCACAATAGGAAGAATTTTATAAATATCCAACCCTTTATAATTTAGGTTGAACAGTAGTCTGGGTGGGGCATGCCTTTATGTAAAACCTTGGGCTTGATTTCATGTTTTTCCATTTATATGTGAAAATTATAATAAAGTAATTTTAGTTTTTGTTTTTAATTTATGAAATCTTCGTTGTTATAAACATTAAAAATAGTTTTGTCCCCTGCATATTTTATATTGACTTCTCTAATTGAATTTTCCAGTTTTTTTATTACATGCTTGAGGCTCAAAAAAGAGGCGTTCACATCTATTGGAGGAAACTGAAGTACTTTGGAATTTATAATAGTTTGAGCATTGGTCTCTTCATTCCCAACTTCATCGGTAAAAATTGCAAAGATATTTTGAGTTGGTATATTATATGATATTGACTCACCTCGTTTCCTTTTTGATGCTGAATTTGAAGAGCTTGAAGTAGCTTCATTTTCCATATTCCATAGGGACATTCTTATCTGACAAAATGTTTGAAAACATGATATAGAGTCAGATGTTCTGTAATATTGATGTTAAATACTTAACAGTTTAAAAACCAAATACAAATAAAAAATAAACCAATTAACTCTCCAAAGTGGGTAATTATTTTTTTGAAAATTATTTATTTTTTATTAAATTTTTCTATTCATAGGGTCCATTAAAACATGAGAAAATCAATTTTAATAAATTACCAATCTTAACAACTTCATAGAAAGGTGTAACATAAATGTCAGCTCTTGGGCTAATTTTTTTTTTTATTACAGAATTTGATAAATTTTCATTAGAATAGTTATAATAAGTAACAAAATAAGTTTTATTAATAATTTTATTGAACCAAAACATGTATAAATTTTTATTTTTAAAATATATTTTATTTACTTTTTATGATAAGAGCAAAAACATTTCACGCACAATCCTAGCTTGCAATTGCCAAAAATAGTAATTGCCGATATTTTTACACATTTCAATTGTGTATCACTTGCAACTGGAAATTTTTAGAACAAAGTGAACCATTCAATCATTGCAAATTGGAACTCGTGGGGATCTGGGATCAGATCTGGTGACTTAACAGTAGTTTTATACTTCTCTAAGTAGCATTGAAAAACTGCTTGTCTGACATCTAGTTTTTGACTACTTGATGGTCCAGCTTACCTTTATTTGAGCCATGCATTATTCATGGCAGCATCACTTAGCCAAGTAAATAATGGTCACCATGAATGCTGATCCTTCTTTGACTGATGTCCTCATCCATCTGATCAGTTTCACCCATGTATTTATTGTATTGATTTATCAATATCGACAGAGATAATGTTATATTTTTCCTTCTTTTGCAGTAGAATCGTTTTACACAAACCATTGGTTGCAAACCATAGACTGTAGAAGCGACAGATAGGTTACTACCTACCCAATAGCAAATAGAAATGCTGTCTTTTTTTTCAAGAGCACCTCTTGGTTCCTTTTTCCATTTTGGTTGTTGCAGCTTTATTTGGGAGTGTACAAAATTTTTCAGAAAAACTAAATTTTATTTTAAAATATATTTCTAAGTAAAAATCAAACTGTATAAAATTACACAACAATGATTAAATTAATTTTTTTTGTCTATAAAAAATGTAAACAACAATAAACTTATTGTTGACAATCAGAAAATGTGCTGACATATTACAATATACACATCTATTTGCCAATATTTATTTATTTTAGATGTATTTAATACAAAAAAATTATCGTTTTTAAATAAGTAGTAATCCAATGGTACGAGGTCTGGACTATATGGTGGATGAGGCAGGAGTTCGAACCTATGAAGTTCTTTAAACTTTCTTTTGGTTTGACAGGAAGTGTGAGGACGAGAATTATATTGTTGGAATAAAATTCTTCTTCGGTTGATCAAAGGAGGACAACGCTCTGACAACTTTGCGTACTATCTTTCCAGTTGTTTGCAGTAGTGTTCAGAATTCATGGAGCATCCATCAGAAACGAATTCATGATGAATAACACCTTCAAAATCAAAATTCCAAAAAACCCAAAGCATAGATTTTTTTTTCAAATTGCCTCTATCACCAACCGCAAAAGCAGTTTGACCACGATCTAGCCATTGCTCACGGGTATTCGGATTTTACCAGTAAATCCACTTTTCATCCCAGGTGACAATGTTCTGGTAAAATCTCATATCAGAAGGGTTTTCAATAAATTTTCACAAATTTCTAACCTCTTAGCTGATTGCTGAGGAGTAAGCTCATGAGAGACCAGTCTACTGCTCTTTTTCACCTTCCCCTTGGAGAGTAGATCGCAACTAACAGTATCTTTCAATATAGCACACTCCTTAACAAGTTCACAAGTACTTGTTGACGGATTTGACTCATCAGCTTCCTGCAGAACCTCATCAATATCCATTAATGGTCGCCCGGAGCCCTTCTTTCCTTTCCATGTCGTATCTCTAGTGCTAACTTTTTCAAACCAATGCCACACAGTGCACTGGTCAAGGACACCTTCCCCTTCATATTTAATAATTTCATGAGTTGTTTCAGTGGATGTGAAATTTGTTTTCCAGTAATGGCTTAAAATAATGAGAATTTCGTAGGATACTGTCATGTTTCTTCTTTGAAACAAATGACTAAACTGAGGCTATTTTTGAAGAAGTCGAATGGGATTAAACAACCTTAGGGAATGCTCTAAAGGGATTATTAAGTATTGGTAAGTATTAAATAGGATTAAAATATTTACAGTCCTTTGAAATCTTGAATTTGATAAAATGGTAATTTTTTTTTATACACCCTATCCCTATTAGTATGTTTCATAAAATAATTCTCTAAATTGTTCACAAATATAAACAAGCAATTATATAATGATTAACTTGTGATCGCAAATAGATTCTTTTACATTGGAAAAAAGAAAATAGAATTTCCTAAAAATTGTTTCTATTGTATAAGTTCAGAATATTGCAAATAAATAAAACACTGTTATTTTACTAGTGTTAGAACATAATTTTCATATTGAAAAAAAAAATAGTTCTATTCTAATTTATACAAATGCAAAAAATTTGAAAATGTTGTTCTAAGTCCGAATGTGACATATTTGTCACATGGAGTTTAGACCTAAATTATGCAGTTATACATTTCTAAACAAATCTAAGATTGTTTGTATTTTAACTACAGGATTTAACGATACTAAAACATTAATATTTAAAAATTAAAAAAATAATATAAACATATAACAAGACTTAGACTTAGTAAGCAGCGAGATCGACATTCATTCACTGAGTATGATGAGTAGGTTGAAAGGGAATGACAAATAGGTCAAGTGAATGGATTGGGTCTACAATGTATGAGAGTCAGAACACAAGTTGGTGTTCTTATAAGAAAAGACTTACCATGCATCGAGATTGACGTTCATTGTAGTCAGATTTTAGAACTTCAAAATAAACTTGAATAAGCATTGTTGATACCATAGATAGTAATCTGAAATAGAAAGAAAACATATGGCAGTAAACAATAGCAAATAGTTTATAAGTAGAAATTAGTTTCTTATATCTGAAAAATGATATAGCCTCACTGCAAAATTATGATCTCTGATACACCTATCTACTATTACTTCCTCACTACCAAATGTAGGGAAGCTTTGTATTCCTGCAGGAGTTTAAAAAAATGTTTATGCTCAGAATCAAAAATTTCCAATTTATGTCTGTTGGTCTGTCTGTAGTAAAATCATTGTGAGGGGCATATCACCTACTATCGTTTATCTGATTTTCATCAAATTTTCAGGAACTGTGTGGGTTGGTGCCTAGATGGTCCAAAAAGAAATTTGGTTGAAATCGATGACTCACAGACTGTATCCTCTCCTTGTCAGTATACATTTAAAATTTTACATACCAAGGAGTAGAGGCATTGTGCAATAAAAATTAAATAAATACCTACAACTTACTCACTCCTAATTTTCTATAAACCTCACACTTTTTAAATGTGTGTATTCTTCAATATATTAGCTAGCAGAGATGGTATTTTTTCAGATTCATATAAATTCTGAATTTATAGTACAGAATTTTATAAAATCAATACAATTCATTATTTTACTAATACCTACCTTTTTTTCAACATTGAACCAAATCAAACTATCTGTTTCCGAAATAATGGCATATCTAATAAAATAAATTTGCGCGTGCACAACTGGAAGTACCATAGGAATTTAATTAAATTAATACGGGACCATCTAGGCACCAACCCACACAGTTCCTGAAAATTTGATGAAAATCAGATAAACGATAGTAGGTGATATGCCCCTCACAATGATTTTACTACAGACAGACCAACAGACATAAATTGGAAATTTTTGATTCTGAGCATAAACATTTTTTTAAACTCCTGCAGGAATACAAAGCTTCCCTACATTTGGTAGTGAGGAAGTAATAGTAGATAGGTGTATCAGAGATCATAATTTTGCAGTGAGGCTATATCATTTTTCAGATATAAGAAACTAATTTCTACTTATAAACTATTTGCTATTGTTTACTGCCATATGTTTTCTTTCTATTTCAGATTACTATCTATGGTATCAACAATGCTTATTCAAGTTTATTTTGAAGTTCTAAAATCTGACTACAATGAACGTCAATCTCGATGCATGGTAAGTCTTTTCTTATAAGAACACCAACTTGTGTTCTGACTCTCATACATTGTAGACCCAATCCATTCACTTGACCTATTTGTCATTCCCTTTCAACCTACTCATCATACTCAGTGAATGAATGTCGATCTCGCTGCTTACTAAGTCTAAGTCTTGTTATATGTTTATATTATTTTTTTAATTTTTAAATATTAATGTTTTAGTATCGTTAAATCCTGTAGTTAAAATACAAACAATCTTAGATTTGTTTAGAAATGTATAACTGCATAATTTAGGTCTAAACTCCATGTGACAAATATGTCACATTCGGACTTAGAACAACATTTTCAAATTTTTTGCATTTGTATAAATTAGAATAGAACTATTTTTTTTTTCAATATGAAAATTATGTTCTAACACTAGTAAAATAACAGTGTTTTATTTATTTGCAATATTCTGAACTTATACAATAGAAACAATTTTTAGGAAATTCTATTTTCTTTTTTCCAATGTAAAAGAATCTATTTGCGATCACAAGTTAATCATTATATAATTGCTTGTTTATATTTGTGAACAATTTAGAGAATTATTTTATGAAACATACTAATAGGGATAGGGTGTATAAAAAAAAATTACCATTTTATCAAATTCAAGATTTCAAAGGACTGTAAATATTTTAATCCTATTTAATACTTACCAATACTTAATAATCCCTTTAGAGCATTCCCTAAGGTTGTTTAATCCCATTCGACTTCTTCAAAAATAGCCTCAGTTTAGTCATTTGTTTCAAAGAAGAAACATGACAGTATCCTACGAAATTCTCATTATTTTAAGCCATTACTGGAAAACAAATTTCACATCCACTGAAACAACTCAT